GGGGGGGGGGTGGGTGGGCAAGTGGGGCAAAGTTAATATAAAGGGGGGGGGGGGGGTAAAAGGGGTGGGGGGCAATATATGCCATTTTAGTACTTGGGGAAAAGGTAAAGCCAGAGTGGCAGACCCCCAGGCGGACCCCCGAGAGGAAAAAAAAAAGAGTGATAAAAGGAGGGACTACCTGTGGGGCCCTCCAAACACCCCGCTACCCAATTAGAAACTAAAAAAGTGGTCCCGCATCCCGATCGCAGCCTAGGGAATGACTTTGTGAGGAGAACCCTTCCTGGGCCTTCGGCATTTTGTGGTAGGGTGACCAGTAACTTCCTTTCCACACCAACTTTACTTCCCCTAATCGAAGTCAGGTACCCATTCCTGCTGGGTGGGCTGGATTAAAAAAAAAAAACTACTTTAAAAAAAAGACCCCCCCCCCCCCCTAATTCCCCACATGAGAATCGAACTCAGTTTTTTGTGTGCGACAGCGAGCACCTAACCGCTACACCGCAAACACCGGTTCAGAGTTTTGTATGGAAGCAACATCACAAACCGCACCAGGGGGTGGTTGGCGGGTGTTCTGGTGCGGTGTGCTCCTTCTGTTCTATCGAACATATATACATCTATCATCTTGATCTCCCTTTCTTCTTTTCTGCTTTTGTTACTCTCTTGTAACACCTCTAATCTTTGACATTCATATTGTTTATATGGTCGCTTTTAAGGACAAGCGGGCTACTCAGATTTCGAGGGTTTCCGGAAATCTTGACCTACACCAATATTGGGCTTTGCCCTACCTATAGGAGAAGTTTGGTTTCATAGGTGTGTATATTTGTTAGGTTATAGAGAAAACTCTCCTTGTCTTATAAAGAAACTGAACAAGGTTCCAAGAACTTTGCCTTCGATTTTCTCAAAACAGCATTTTTCGGGATAGCCCCCTTGTGCTTAAAAGCGACCGTGATTATTATGACTTGAGTTGCAAGTGCCACAAAACGCTTACTAAACAAAACCATTTTCTTCTGCGGACACTTTATGTTGGTTAGCGCAATGTTATGGGCCTTACGAAACGCGGCACGGCTTGAAATAAGTCAGTCAAAACAGCTCTACTGACGGGATCACAAAGGGTGGACGCATAACCAATTCACAGATGTGTGAGAGGGCGTTGGTGGTCTTGTGGTTAGGCTACCGGACTCGTAATCGTGAGGTTGTGGCGTCGGTGGCCTAGTGGTTAGGCTAAC